CAAGGTGAAATATCACTGACACAGACCAATACACCATTCACTAGCAGGCATGCAAAAATGTTATTTTTCTTGTATCAGCCCTCTGAATGGGAGGACACATAAGGATGCAGTTTTCTCAGCTTCTAGCCAGAGAGGTTAAAGGGAACTCCTCACCCCTGTGCTGCAGCCTGCTCCCACCACCTCACCATCCCCTCCTGCTACAGCAGTACAAGGGTTTGTCAGGGTGTGCTGTGAACTCACTTGCTGAAATGATCTGGGTTAAAAATAAACTTGTAAAGAGTTAAGAGACTTATTTTTAGCCCAGATCATTTCAGTGATCTAATTTACAGCACAGCCCAACAAACTCACATTGGTGCAAGGGAGGGGGGAAGGGAGGAAGGAAAGGTCAAGGGAGAATGAGCAGTTGGAAACACAACCTGTGTTTCTGCCAAAACCAGGACCTTATGAAACTGCACCCCGAAAGCAGTGACCCTCTCTTGTTTTCATCTAGCATACTGACAACTGCCCTTTTGTTGCACAGTGTTGAGAGCTGGGTGTTGAGGATCACTATTTCTGGATCCTGTTTGTGTAATCAAGACACTAGCCTTAAGCCTTGGATACCTTATTGTGTCTACCTCTAACACACTATATTTTTAATTATTTTTGCCATATTTGCTTTTCCTGAGGTAGATTGTACGTGCAGCGACAAAAATCCCATGAGAATCATGAGGGAGCTTTGCAGAGGTTGTACCAGTGCAGGGTATGAGAAGGCCGCTGGGACAACGGACCGGAGTGAGAATGGGCTGCAGGGGAGCATTCCTGTAAAGCTCTTTAGAAGCAAGGGAGGGATGTGGAGGTGAGGGACTGGCTTCAAAAGCACATCTAGATGCAGCAGCATGACAGTGGGGGTGGAAAGTGCCCAGGATGAGTACCAAAAATTGTTTAACTGTCACAGATTTCATAGCCTCTGAATACTCCAGCCTTGGTGCTATGAAGGACTTGCATCTCAGATAAAAGGTGTTCTGTCTGGCCAAAATATCACGCCTGCAAAAGCAGACAAGTCAGAGGATTCACAGAGGAGAGAGGGAGCGTAGGACAGTACAAATCCCTGCTGTTACTGGCTAATATTTAAGTGCTGCTTAAGCCAAAACTGTCCACTGTATGGTAGCTAATAGACCTTTTTGGTACCCTTTCCAACTAGCGTTTCCAGTACCATTATGGACAGTGACAAAAGCAGTGGGATACCAATTCTGTGAGATAGAGTCATTATAGCCTTCATTTGCAACAGAGTGGGTCACAACCAAAACTGCTAGCTGAGTGCTTCTGGATCCAGTTTTTCACCAGTTCCAGCAGGACATTCAAATTCATCCTCAAACCCATCTCTGGCTTTCCAGTTTTCCCCAGGAGGCTTTGCAATTTTGATTTTATAAGAAACTTGTTGTCTGCAGTGACACTCCCCACCTGTAGCTTACATCCATGATCTTTAAGAACTCTTTGTGAGTACCCAAATGGAATACACAGAGAAACTCTACAACCTCTTTACTTATTTTATATGGGCCTTTAATATGCACCGTCTCTCACCTGGTGCCCATGGTGGGTCCAAAGGCTCTAACAGGAGAATTAGCAAATGTCACTAAGCCAGGTAATGATATTGCTGTCCTGAGGGGGCCCCTCTCTGAGACATTATTACTTCCACATTTGACAGCCTTACTAGCCCTCACATTTACTGGCACATTAAGTGGCCAGTGAAGTTGTAATTGTTCTCCAGTGCTACCAAAGGGACTAGGTTCAGTGTTAAAAGCAGATGAAGAAAGATGGGATTAAAAGCCATTTTCTAATTTACTTGATTTTATGAAGTTATTTGGAAGAGTAAAGTGAAACCCCTTACAGAGAACTTGTTAGTTGCACTTCCTCTTTTTCAGACAGTGCCATGCTTACATTGATGGTATAATTCAATTCCTGTTTTGCTGCTCTGTCTAACATTTTTCAGAATACACAATGCTTAGACATTTATTTTTATAGAACAGTTGAAGACCTCAGAGTAGCAGTGGAAATTATTGATGGAGCAAGTCTTTTACTGTAGCTTGCTGGTTTTAGCCCATTCAGGCTGACCACATTTCTCTTCTGAAAAGGAAAAGAATCACCAGCTGGATGCAAAAAATGCAAAATTAACATCTAAATAAATTCACGCTTTTTGCCGATAAAAAGAGCAGAGCTGCTCCTCTTCATCCTTCTTAAAAGTGGTGGACTATGTCACTGAGACAGGAAAAATGACTGGGAATGGGGGAGACTGCATTAATGCCACGGGGCAGGAGAGAGCCAGCCCTGAGCTCTTGCATGAGAGAAGCAGATGCGTGTCTTAGTCACGGAAGAGGCTGAGGGCTGGTATATGCTCTGGGGTAAGAGTGAGAAAATGAGGCTTCCCACTTTCCTCTCAGTGGGAGGGAGATTGCCAGTCCAGCCCCTGGAAGTCAGGGGGATGGTGTTCTTCTTGCAGTGCAAGGAAGGGAACTTTCTGCATCCAAGTGCCCCAGTCTTTCCCTTGTCCAGAAGACATAAAGTCTGGCACATCAGCTGGGGAAAAAGAAGAAAAAGAAGGAAAAAAAAAAAAGGAGATGTAGAAAAAGCTGGATACAGGACAGCAGTGTAATTGCCAGAAAGCATCTGAGAAGGACTTTTCCTGTTGCAAAAATGTAATTGGAGAGTTTGCAGCTGGCAGTCTGAGGACACAGCCCGTGGGCTACTTGTGCTAATCTTAGCATGGCATGCGCAGTGCTTCCTGCGCCCCAGCCAGTGAGCTTCACACTGGCGAGAGCCACGTTGCAATCAGTGCCTGCTACCAGCAAAACAAGAAGTGCGTGGAATCATTCCAGCCTCACAGCTTTGATCAAATCCAAAGAAAGGGAGCTATGTTTTCAGACTGTAACTCGAAATAAAATTTAAAAATAAAAAACACAACCACCCCAAAGCAAGAAGTCAAAGAGGCCAAGAGGAAGTGCAGTGTCTTTTCTGGGTAGAGGCGAAGGGCTATGAAAGAACCTTTTGGAAAAAAAACAACTATGAGGGAGGCAACCATTCCATCACACACATGGAGCACCTGCAGCTCTTCAGCCTCAACAAAGTCCTCAGTTCAAGTGTCTGTTCTGCCATGCCCAGCTATCCGGGGAACTGGTACACTGACCCAAGCCTCCCAATCCATCCTGCTTTCCCTAACTTCATTCCTTGCTCCCTCTTCTTTCCAGTCTGCTCTCCCTTCTTGGCAGGGAGCCAGCCTGCAGCTGGAAATCACTCTTCCCATGTAGACCAGATATCATTTTTTTGTGTGCAGCAGGCTGCCCTGCTATGTACTTACCTCAGTATTTCTTCTGTTCCCCTTTTCTGCCACTTCCCCTACCCATAATTACTATATTGAAGGCTGAAAAAATAGAAGGAAGGTGCTAGAAGTTCACTGAGGAGAGTCATCTTGATAATGGCTTTTGTGGTTGAATGCAGAAAAGCTGGTCCAAAGTGTATGGGAAGTTTTAATGGGGCAGATGCTGGAAAGAGGGAATGGCAGACATCTACGGGGGCTTGCGGGCCTGGGAAAAAGAAGATAGCATTTACTGGGAGTATTTATTTACAGCTCTCTGAGAAAGGGAAAGGCCGTTTTCCAGAATGCAAACAGGCCTAGGCCATGCTGGTCTCTACCACATATGTCAGACTAGTGAGTGCTCCAAGCTGCAGATGACATGATCCTTAATGTAACTGCCTTGATTTTCTTTCAATCTAGAAACTAGGAGTCTAAAGAAATTCCTTCTTTGATATAATTTCAAATTTCTACAGCTATTTCTCCAGTCCCTGTACTGTGACCCAAAGGAAATGGTCCAGATGTGGGCCAAATGGACGTTTCGAGGGCCTTTCACCTCCAAAGATGCTGAAGGAGTGGTTGTGTTAATGAGACAGCAGGTCACTCCCAGGCAGAGAGGTGTAAAGGGACAAGGAAAGGTTCTGTTGGAGTCTTTGGAGAAACAGAAATTTATTCCTCTAGCAACAGCCTTTGGGGAAACTTTATGACTAAGAAACAGAAGATTATTGAGACAGAGAGGTAGGAAGTGTGGTGCTGGTCATGTGCTTGTGGTGGTGGTGGTACAGGGAGCAGCAGTATGAGGTTCATTGCTGATTGTAGCCTGGTTTGTTGTTGTGAGGTCTCTGCCTCTAACAAAATAAGGATTGTTGGCTGTTGTTCTCAGTTCCCATGGTTAAGTTTACCCTAGCATCAGATACCAGAGATGAAGAACGAACATTTCCCTTCATCAGCTTTGATCTCAAGGCTCTCTACTTATATTGCTTGATACACACGTAGCAAAGAAAACAAGGTAAATGTAGAATGACACCAGGGCTGCATGCTGTGGGAAGAGCCACACCTTCCAGTCTCCAACAAGCCTCCCCCTTCTCAGCCTGTTGTCAACCCAAGGGAGGGGAAGCTTCTCTCAGCCCTGGTATTTCCTCCCTCTGCCCCACTCACTTGAGTATTTCGCTGACAAAAAAGCAGAACAGCACAGGACCATCCCCAAGTAGATGCTGGCTTGCTGCGAGGACAGAGAATGGCTTTTCACAGCAGAACCACTGGAAAAGGAAGGGTGCTGTTGACCAGGACAATAAAGATAGGATGGGAGGGCTGAGGTGTATGGGGACGTCCTTTACTGTCCTGCTCGGTCTGCTCACTGTAAGGAAAAGATGGGGAACAGACACTTGGTTTGAAATACTTTGTTTGCTTCCAGTGAAAAACACTTTGTAGGCTCTTAATCTAGAGCTGAAAGGTTCTGCATGAATTACTGGCTTTCTGGGATATCTGAAAATGCTGCTAGGTCCTGTCTTCCCAAACCTCTTGCACTCAGACTGGATGATTGATTCCAGATGTGAGAAACTCTGCTTGAAGGCCCTGCTTACTCTTGAACTTTATAACACATACACAGGCTTCTCTCTATCCTGCTTGCTTTTCCTACATTTTGCTCATAGCTTTTTTTTTCCTGATTTGTCAGAACAGGCCAGCAGAGACCAACTCAGAGGTGGACAAATCAGCATTGCCCTCAGTGGCTCAGTTAGCAGGGAAATTCAAAGAGCAAGCAGCCAATATCACTGGAAAAGAGGTAAGGAGCTCTGCAGCCACTAGCAGGTAATGGAGTGAGAAATGAGGCACTTGACTTTGACTTTGCCTGTAGAATTTAGATCATCAGTGATCTGAGCATGAATTCACCTTTATTCTGAATCCTTGCAAAGGATTTGTCTCCTAGTGCAATGCAAGCTATGACAGTATCTTCCATGCATTGCTGACTTGTGGACGAGTATTTTGGTAGAGCCATACCTCAAGACAACTAGACACTGTAACTGGGCCCTGTAAAGCTTCGTAGGGTTCACATATATAGTAGCAGACAGCAATGTGTGTACCATCTGGGCTGGCTTTTGTGGGCAGAGGGCAACAATGAATAATGAAATAGCTAATATGGAGCCATGGAAAAAGAAAGCAAACAACAGATTATGCAGTGTAGAAGCCAGTGGCAGGTCACCAGCATCTTGTTCACAAAAGGAGAAGGTCTCCTCTAGGTAATTCCTTCTAAATGTCTGAGAAAGAAGGTTGTCTCTTTATTTCTTTCCTATGACATTCCAGATTCTGTGCCTATCTCTATCATGCCAAACTTAATTTTATTGAAAGCCCACTAAGACAAGCATTACCTCACAAGGTGTCTTTCATCAGATATACAAAACACTCAAATACCTCTCTTAGGAAGAAAAGGTCAGAATGTTTGTGGACAGAGGCTGACATATTAGGAGAGCCCCCTGTATTTTTATGCACTTTTTAGAAGCATAACTGTTTACTGTTTACTTAAGTCAGTGGATGCTCCTTTAAAACTAAACATCTTCCTTTGGCTGCTCAGCGAATTTCAGCATGTCCCAGGCTGGGCCTAAGGGGATTCTCCCTGTTACCCCTCCTGCCTTTGGCTGGATGCAGTGGTGACCTCAATCCTGCAGGACTGGCAAGCCACCTTCTATCAGAGGTTAGCACTCCCATAGCAGGGCCCCAGGATGGGAATAGCCAGTCTCTTCCCAAGCAATTTTTATTCCCCTCCAGTCACCAGCACACCACTCCCTCTGTCCCATTACAGTAATTTCCTCTTTAAGGTATGGGATTTAAGTGCAGTAAGTGCCTCACCATTCAGAAGGCAGCAAGTTCCCAGATTTTTCTTGTGTTATCTACCGACCTCTGCCGCTCCCAAGCCAAGGCAGCATGGGGCCTCACAGTGGGGGGAAACTAATTTTCTCCAGAGACAGAGGAGGACAAAGTTTCCTGTCTTTTCTCTCCAAGCCATCTGTCACTTCCTCACTGGCTTGCTCAAGCTGGCCTCAGATTAATGGCTGAATGGATAGTCTTTAACCCTTGCTTGACCCATGCCAGCAGAGGGGAACCTGTCAAGCAGGAAACCTCTGATATATTCACTGTGTCAAAGCACAGCATTTCATGGTTGTAAAATGATGAGGTTTCAATAAGACATGATATTATTGCTTCCTAATGTGACATAAGGATAAGGGCAAGGCTGCCCTTGGCTGCTTGGAGATGCAGCATTGCCTTGGCTGGTTGCAGCACCACCAGAAGCTAAGTGACATCAAGTCTACAGGTCCTCCAAGACAGCCAGCTCTACAGAGGTCGAAGACAACATAATCCAACTTTTCACATGCCTGCCTGCTAGAAGGTAACAAAATTATCCAAATATTATATTGTGGATATTATCCAAGATCCACAATTTTATCCAAGTGTTTTGTCTGTTAACACATAAAAAATGTGTTAACAGCTTGGCAGGAGGCTACAAACCTCCTAAAGTTTTTTGGCTTTAAGTTTTTTGGCTTCAAGACCAGAGCAATAGTTATGAAGAAGCAACTCCATAGGTGCTGTGCTATGCATCTCTTCTTTCCTGGTGAGCACTCTCATACTTCTGAGAGTCCCAGGACATTCAGAAGGAACTGGTGTCCTTGCCATTAAGTTGCCCTGTTCCTTCTCCCCTGGAGAATGTTTCTTAGTCAAAATAAAGGCTAGAGATGATGGGTTGTTTCTGTGAGCTGCTCTTCTGCATTAGAGAGAAACGAATGAGGCTGTAGGGCATGTTGAAAAAGTCAGAATTCCCCTTTTTGCCCCTAAAATATATCAGATTCAAAATAGGAAAATCATGAACCAGGTAGGCAGCTGAGTCTCATTAAAAATACATCCTGGTAATAAGACAGGAAAGAGAACAATAACAAGCTCTTCCAGTGTGAGGGGCTTTCCAGCAGGATGCTTTAAAGATTAAGCTTCTGGGAAGGCTTCTGCACTCTCCACAACTTATAAGAATGTCCTTCATACAAAACCTGAAGTGTTGTCATTCATGCTGTGGAAAGAGATATATACTACTTTTCCAGCACTATGATTGGGCTGAAGATGCTACAAGCACAGCTAGCATGCTAGCCACATGCCCACATGCTAGTATCTTGTGCTGCCATTGGATGACTCCTTTAGGCAAGATAAGCCCTGCCATCCAAGCAGGTCACTTACAGAGCATGCCCTTTGATGCTTGAATTTAATTTCCTTTTTTAAAAAATATTGATTTACCTGCTGCTGAATTGGTTATTTTCTTCTCTTAGGTACCACCACATAAGCCAGCTAGGAGAAAACCACCATGTTCCCTTCCACTGTATTCCCACAAAACTGAGACAAGTGACAACGATGAGCAAGTGAGTATTTAATAGGGTGACAAGGTCTCTCCTCTCTACAACCTCTTTTCTCCTGAGACATGAGGTTGGAGGTAGCAGGGAGGTCAGACTGTGCAGCAAAAGACATTAGTCATGCAGCATCAAACCTTGCCCTGTTCACACACACGTACTGACTCAGAATCAGCTCCACGCTGTTTCCCACTCCTGTAGCATGGATACACATGCCATTTCTGCTGTTATTCTTTTTACCCTTAGGGCACTCACTGATGGATCCACCCACTTACCACATTTTAGGCATTTTAAAGCAGGATCTGTTGGTATTTATTAGATTTAAACAGCACTTAGCACAGGGAGTATCCGTGCTGTTTGTTGCCTTCAGATGAATTCTAGAGGGTTGACTATAATGGTGTAATGGTTCTGCTCTTGAGATTTTCCCTTCTTCAGAAAAAGGGAATAATTAATACAGAGTGAAGAAGGGGTTTGCCAGCAATACCTGCAGAATATTGTCTTGAGGTGTCCTCCATATAGCACCATGGAATGAGCAGGTCCCAGTAAGCTCGCTGCTACTAAAGTTTATGCTCCGGCCCTTTCCAGTCCTATCTGTCCTTCCGTATTTCAGGGCATGAGATCTACCCACCCAGTTTCACATTGTCAACTGCCCTTAACAAGAGGGTGATTCTTTGTTCTTTTCTGATAGCTACAGGCTCTTGCTGTCGAAGGAGCAGAAGCTTTAAAAATCTTAGATTCCTTCTTTTCCCTTTGGACCAGAAAAAAGCAATATGCTCATTCTCAAAGCAATGCTCTCTTTTTCTCAAACTGTTTTCAGCCTTTCATAGCTTTACCTTTCCAGCAGCTTGGGCCTTTCCTGCCTTTACTAATTGGATACCCCTGAACTCTTAGTCAAGTGGTGGCAGAAAGTCTTTCCCATCACAAAAAGTTCACAATATTTAGCAACATTAACACTTGTACCCTTTAAGAGGTAGATTTTAATCTGTCTGATCCTGAAATAATACCAGGGGAAACTGTCATATGTTAGATACTTTAATGAAAGAAATGTAGCAGCAGAGCCATTACGTATCACCTAACTTAGATATTTCAGCCAGAAAGCAGACAATCGCCTCTTCTCCCAGAGGAAGGATGCATGTATGTAGAGCCCTAGGATGGCTAGGTAACAACAGGGGAGCAGAGTCAGGAAAGAATAAAGCAAACTTTCATGTGAAGATGCTATATGAGGCTTCCCTTGCTCCCCTACTAGCACTTTTTGTTTATCTCTTCCAAGTTTTCAGCCTTCGCTGTTTTTCCTGTTTTTCACTGACTTTAATGTGGCTTTTTCATGTTTCATTTTGTTTTACAGAAACGGTCTCCAAATGCTTGCCCCATTCCCAAAGTGAAGGTGAAAAGCTCCCCCATGATTGAAAAGCTGCAGGTAGGTCCTGGAAGAGCCCACATGGCTAGTCCAGCAAATTAAAACCTATTGGGTTATTGTCATAGCTACTTCCCTTGTGGAGCAGCCACAGGGGAAAGGGATCCAGGAGGCAAGGGTGGCAGCTAGGTAAGAAGGGTAGTGGCCTCACTGACAAGGGCCCCATCCCACAATACACAATCAAGGAAGGCTGAGCAGGTCTGGTGATGGTAACCAGCATCAGAAGCAGTCCGGTGCTCCTCAAGCACATCCATGGGCAGGTCAGTGCATGGGTCAGGATCATTGGATCTGCGGGGTACATGGCTGGGCACAGGCATGGTAGCAGCACCGCTCAGACAGGGAGCAGGGTCAGGAGCTTCAGTTTAAAGGCAGCTTGCAAGAGAAAGTGAGGGAACACTGACTGAGACTTCTTTCAGCTCTTTCTTTGCAGCTCTCTAAATCAAACTGAGTCACCTGCACCCTACTGAGGAGCTGGCCTTGAGCACAGGCAGCTACAATCTGGGCTCTGGCACTCCCCTGTGTGCACCTATAAGCTGTGCTCCCCTCCCCTCGATTCCCCCAGCTACACACAAACACCCCCAGTGCTTCTGGCCCTTTTGGCACCTCTCCATGGTGCCTTATTCATGCTGCTGAGGGCAGCTCAGCACTCAACAGCCCATGGATGTAGTGTCCTGATGCTGTCTCCTGGCAGCACGTGTGACCCCAGAGCACGGTGCCTCCTGGCCACCCTGACAGAGTGTAAGCCTACTCATATCACAGCACTGTCCCTCTAAATGCTCCCAAGGACCTTTGACTACAAAAGCCACTTAGTGACAGGCTGGCAGGAAGTGTTTTGTCACAGTTAATCACAAGCTTGCTTCTTTCCATGGTCTTCTCACTCCTTATGACTATGGAGATCATCCAGAAGACATGGATATCAGGCTTGAAAATGCGAGGTCTGCTTGGGCACACAGAAGGATGGTTTAAATCTCAAAGTGATTGCTGCCTGCTTGTTCAGACTTTCTTGCAGCTCAGCCAGTGTAGGCTGTGCTGGCTTGGCTGGGTCACTGGAAAATCCCAAAAGGCCTCAGGATGACAAAGGGACATGTCCTGAGATCCAGCTGCTGGGGAAGGGCAAATGTCCAGCTATAACTTCTCTGCCCGGACTTGTTTGTTGACAGTGTCACCAGGAGATACCCATAACCAGAAGGTACATGGGTTGTGACAGCTGAGAGATGTGGTGGCTCCCATGGCAAGAGCAAGGGTCCCTCCACGTGGTTGCCGCATGTAGTACACACCAGTGTCGTGCATGCCTGTCACCGTGTTTTTTCTTTGCAGGCCAATCTGGCTTTTGCTCCAGCCGCTCTACTGCCAGGAGCATCTCCCAAAAGCCCTGGTCTGAAAGCCCTGGTTTCTCCGTTTAGCACCCCTCCCTCAACGCCCAGCAGCCCAGGGATTCAGCCCCAGGCCAGTGAAGTGAATGAGACTCCGGTCAGCTTTGATCAACCCCCAGAGGGCACTCAGCTGCAATTCTATAACAAGGTAGGATTTCTCCATCACAGCAGGATAAGACTTGCTTATCACTTGGAGGTGAAGAGGAAGCGGAGGCCACAGCCTTCAGTTCTGCCATAACTGTGCACTTGTGGCCAAGGGAGGAGATCTCTGTGCCAGGTTCAAAACAGCCTTTCAGTGTAGCTCTGTGGACTCTCCTCTCTGCCCACCTGCATGTGGAGCTTCGTGATCCAGCAGCTCCTGCAGATTTTCTGACCAAATAGGTAAAGGGAAGGGGTGAAGTGGCAGGACCCAGTTACTTCAGCTCAGCAGTAACAGGGTGGCTGGTGCCAGGGCAGGGAGTGCTATGACGAGGTGGTGCCATGTGCCAGCAAATGTCAAATGCGTCTGGAGTGCAGTTTAGGTGCCCACATAGAGCGCAATGGGTTCCCAGGTGCCCCCACAGAGTGCTCAGTACTTAAATGAGGAGCTGTAACCTCCATTGACCATCAACTGGAGTGCAGACTCCTTCCTCAACCACCAAATTGCCAAGAGTAGAAAAGGCTGAGAGATCCAAAGCCAGCAGCATATGCATAATGTATGCAGTGTCGTTGGGTATGAGGTCTAACTTGGACAAGAAAGAGGCACAGTTTAAACTGGGACAATAATCTCCAGCACCAGCTTTACAGAAGGAAAGGAGGCATACGTTAGGGGGCTGCTTGTCCTCTAAAGTAGTCTCTCAAGGGGTAGGAGTCCTTATCTCCCTACCTCTCAGTTGCAGAGCAGGAAAAGTGAGGCCACCAGAGTAGCAATCAAGTTTCCCCCATGGTATTTTTCTCTGTTGTGCTTTCTGGCTTTTCAGTACTGCTCTCTTGGCTTCTTCAGTGTCTGCTTTTCCTGCCTCCTAGGTGCGGACACGAGGCTCAATAAAGCGCAGGCCTCCCTCCAGGAGGTTCCGAAGATCTTTGTCTGAGTATGGAGACGGGGAAGATTTAGGGGTCAACATCTCTCCAGAAAATGGTGCCAAGGAAGATGGGTATGAGGTGTTTGGGCCCAAGGGCAAGACAAAGGCGGCAGAAACAGGGAGTAAAGAGGAAAAGAAACAGACAGGGTCTGATGAGAAGCCCCCATCAAGGAGAGGATCCAGCAGATCAGAAGATGAAGGAAAAGAGGAAAAACGAGCAGAGGAAATGACTCCTGGCAAGAATAATGAAGAGGGCACAAAGGAGGAGGAAGTGTGTCATGATGCCCCAGGGGAAGAGAACTCTTCCCAGCCTCCCTCTGGAAACAAGGAGGAGGTGTGTGATGGTCACCAGGGAGAAGAGCAAGAAAGCAGTGCCTGTGAACAGGAAAAGGGGGACAAGGAGAAGGAAGAAGCTGAAGATGAAGCAAAGGAGACCAGTGAGAATGCAGACACACAGAGAATGTCAGACACTGAAGAAACGCCACTGGCACCTGAACCACTGCAGGATGCAGTACGCTTAGAGACTGCCAATGAGCCTTCAACGTCAGACACGCAGGACCAGGGCACAGCATAACTGTGATGCACAGGTAAGGTAAGTCACTATGATGATGGCTCCTAAAATTCCAGAGGGTCTTGTTTATTAATGAAAATGGCAACTGTGACAGAACACACCACTATTTTTGTAGCTCCCCACACCTCCAAAGTATCAAATTTCAGGCCTGCAGAGATTGCAAGGCAGATTATTTAAAACAACCAGCCCTTCTGGGTGGTGTTACAGAGAGGGAGAGGGTGGACAAGAGGCAAAGCCAGTTCTGGATTTGGTAAAATGGAGAGGCTCTGCTCACCAGGCATGCTGTTCAACTGCTGTTTTGAAAGCATTTTGGGAGTCCTTAGAGTAAAAGCACTTTCCCCCAGTAGTAACCATATATATACCATTTCAATATGCCTCTTTACATATACATATTTATATACAGATATATATGTGTGCACACATTGTATATATAAATGCATACATATATATTCCCTGTGTTTAGCTTGTTAGCATTGTCAGCAAAAATCATGTTTGCACATCTACCAGTTTCATGATCAACCCTGTAGGTACACAAACACGGGCCCCTGTCGCTTGAAGTAAAAGGAGATTTCCACTGGCAGGGAACAACCCACGAGGCGTGTGTTCCATGTTGCTTCTTACATATTCCCTAACCACTGATAACATAGCTACAGATGCATGAGGAAATACTTACTTCCAACTCAATCACCTGTCCCCTCTTCAGATGCTACCTTAGTTTGACAAGAAACAATGGAAGGAGGCAGGTTGGTGTTCAGGCTGCAGCTCACCTCTGCCTCCTAGCATGGAACTTACCAAAGTACCCCAAGGTAACAGACTCAGCACTGTATTTACTTACACCTATGATTATTTTTCATAATTTCTGTACTTTTCCCCTCTGAAAAGGACATACCCAATCAGGGCACAGGAGTCAAAACATGTGAATTGGAGCTATTTAACCAAATCAAGGTGGAAGCTATTGGAACACCTTCAGCAGCAGGAGAGGACCAGAACATGGATATCCCCCAAGGTCCGGACTCATCCCAGAGCTGAGTGGCTGCTTGCTGGCTCTCTGCTTTGCACTGTCAGAGTTTGGGACAGCCAGAACAAGAGACTGGTGTGCAATCGCTTCAGAGTTCAAAACTGAGGTGTTGGCTGACGTTCCTCAGTGATATTCAGGAGAGACCTGATATGTGCTGTCTTGGAGCCGACAGCCACCACCGCTTCTGCAGCCTCTTCTCCTTCATCCTGCTCCAAAATGGCTTTTTCTTCTACCCTGCATTGGTCTTAGATGAAGTTCATCAGTTACATAGGTATATGTATGATGCCTTTTTGGTAGCTTCTTTTGAAATGTTTTGGGTTTTCAAATTTCATTAAATAATGTTTTAACAATAGGAAAAAGAATGTTTTCTCCATATATGCTGTATGGCAGACAATATGAATTCTGAACATGGGGAAAACTCTTAGGATATTGTTTATAAAGCATAAAATCCCTTTGAAGTAGGGGTCAAGCTGTGAAACAGCCAACTGTAGCAGGCAATTTTTCTGTGTGCTTCAACTTCAGGGTGTTTTTAGTGCTGGTAGAAAGTAACAACCAACAGCTGTGATGCTCAGAAAAGATGCGCTGTGTAGATCAAGAGGGCAACCTTTCTTATCTGGGCTCTGGTCCAGATTTAGAAGGACCACCTCTCTGTCAGTCTTTCTTACTTCCAGACCCTATCCTATCTTTTGATTCTCTTTTAAAACTTTCAACAAGTGCTACTCATGATAGAAAGCATCCTGGCTTACTGGAAACAGCTCATGAATTTTATGTAGGTGAAAGAGGAGGTCTTAGATGGCTGAGTCTCCAGTCATATAGCCTGCCTATGAATTGGTGAAGGTCAGATAGCCAGACCCTCCTAAGTGCTTAGGCATTGTACTAGATTTGCATTCACTCAGGGTACTAGTTAAGTAGTCTAGCAATTGCTAAGCCAAAAAAAAAACCCTTTTACATTCGGAGAGGATTTGTTGCCCATAAGAAACAAGTTATTTGGAGAAAGACAGGTAGCAGACCTTCCCCTGACCAGTTTCCTGACAGTAGTGTTTGAAGCTCTACCTGCAATACGTAATAAAAAACTGCCCTGACTCAAGGCCATGGGGCTTATGTCCACAGCTTGATGTATTGCTGTGGGACAAGTTGGGCTTGCTTGAGACAGACAGCCAGGCTTTCCAAAAGCTTGGCCAAAGAGTCATCTAGCTGTCAGGCAGTGTGAACACTCAGGAGCCAGTGCCTGAACCTGCCACCAGCCACCTAGTACCCAGCAACACAGATGCAGCTACAGACACTAAGGGCAGAACCAGCCAGCTCCTCATCATCCATCACAAAGCTCCTTCTAGCAAATGTTAAGCAGACTGGAGTTGGAAGCTTGGGCTGTCCCTGTCTCTCTGGACAAGCACAAGCATTCTACACAGCAGAGCCTACCTCCATCCTTGAGTGGGCTCTGCAACTGATGTGCGGAAACAAACTCTATAACTCTGGGAGGGTTATAAAGCAGGAATGTTTATTATGGTACCAGGTGCAAGGGGGATCGCTCCTCCAAACCTGCACACCGAAGGGACAGGTAGCAGGGATTATATGGGGTAAAATCATACATATTCCTATAACTACTCATGCATAATCATTAGGATTCCGAGAGAAGGTGGAGATATTACAATCATTATTATAAGTCCCCTCCTTTTTGCGCTTGCGCATTGCCATCTGGTGGTCGTCTTGAGGATCTTCGGGGAGCAAGGCCGCATATCTTCCTCACAGTGTACTTTTCACCCTTGGCACAACATCATGAGTTGTCTGGTCCTGGCCGGTTTGCACGCAGCTGCGGGGCTTAATAAGCAACTACGTTTGTGCTTCAAACTTATACAAGACAAATAGTTTCTGTTATTTAATCTACAAGGACACTATTGCATCTGGGGTTTCTCTGCTTCACAACATAGCAGTGTTACAAACCCAATGGTTTTGAGGGGTAACCCCTTCTGTTCACCAGCTCTAAAGTTGTGAGGAAAGATGTGGCTCTGAGCCCTGCCTTTCTTTTTCCCAGATAAGAGGACTGAGGTGTCATCTGCTAAGAGCCAATGATGTTGCGCCTCTTGCCTACCACGTGCTTGTTGGCAAACACAACCCCCACATCCTTTTGAGCTGTGCTGTGGGGTGTTGGTGCCTTTGAAACCATTTTAATCCATTTGTTAGAGCTTGCATTCCAGGGCAGGCTGCAATCATTCGCTGTACCCTGTTTCTTCTCACAGCAGAGTGTCCCATCTGGAAGTGAGTGACAGTACCTTGCTGTATATATATATATGTGTGTGTGTGTACTTGTTTAGAGAATGAGTATGTGTGTCTCAAGTAAAGGAATGGAAATCCGAGGGAGAAACAGAAGAAAAAAATGGTGGAATAAAACCAAATTAAAACAAAATCCATGTGTTTCCTCTTGGGGAGATGAAGGAGCCTGAGCAAGGATGGAGAGGGCTGGTAGCAGACGTTAAAATAGGGGTGGGTTTTCCACTGCCATTGGAACATTTAATTTTAATTCATGGTATTTTTTACTTTTGGGGAACTGAAAAAACAATGTACTTATTCCACAAAGGAAGGTGTTCCTTGGGGCAAGCAGTGACAATGGTGATAGCCACAGTCCCTGCCCCAGCCCTGCAGGTGTTGGGTATCCAGGAACAGAAGGAAGCAAAGCCACTTAGACTACTGCTGTTTCTCCAACAGCATCCTTGTTCAGGGGAAGCATAAAAAAGCAAGGTGACACAGTGGTCCTTCTTGTGAGATCTCCCAGCTTCTGGTAATCAACAGTTTATAGAGACTGTGACAGAAGTTGCATCACCATCTTTGTCCTTGATGGCTTTACAAGTTGCAGGAAAAAAAAGGCGCCTGTTTCTCAGCTGAAGGCATCTACACATTCCTCTTGGGACAATGCTCACTCAGGCAGCACAAAACCTTGCCCCATCGGCAGACGAAGTGAGAGCCATTTTAGAAAAGACTCTTTGGCCAGTTATTAGCCTTGTGACACTGCAAAAGCAGGGGACACATAGGCATGTCTTCCTGCACCATCCATACTATCAGGAAACACTGGCTTGGGAAGCATGGTCTTATATCCACAAGATGTACAGAGTCAAAAAGTTCTGACTGAAATGTAGACCACAGCTTGATTTGGTGCATAGGGTGGTGGGGCCACCTGTTCAGACCCATACATGTCTGTCAAATTGCTGAGGCTGGAGTGTATGATGTCACAGGTAGGAACACTGATGGTTGAACAGGAAAATGCCCTCAGCAAGAAAACTTTGATATAATCAATGCAATTCTCATGCAGATGGTGCCTGAAAAATTTCAAAAAACCCTAAAAGAACAAACCTTACAGGCCAGAAGATGTTTAAATGGGTGGGGAAAAGTAGGGGTTGAAGACAGAGCAAGAATGAAAGGCTTGAATGCAGCACAAGAGCAAGGAGACTATTGCAGTTGTGTTTGACTGGGATCTTGTTGGTTTTACGGCTATTTTTTTTACAAGATTTTATTTAAACAGTAGTGTGAGCCACAAGAAAGTGTTAGATGGTGTGGTGGTTTAAACCACTTTTT